CACATGGACATATCAACCAGAGTCAGCGACATGTCTGTCAATCATCCTGCAGCGCTATTTTTGTGCATACTTTGTGGCATCCTTGCAATAATTATCACTTGCATATTGCAATAAAAAAAAAAAACAATCAAGACAATGTTGATCTAACAAATACGGCTAGCGTTGATACCATAAAATACCAAATACCAGTATGGCAAATTACAAATTTAGAATGCATGGCCAGCGTGTGACAATCATTGTACAAAGAAGTTTTAGAGAGCCTGGATAATATTTGTGCTGAAAATAAACATTTTAGCAAGTTGGATTTTGTTTCATATATTCAATATCTTTAGCTCTCACTGCTGCAGATATGCATGTGATAATACTTGATTGTCAACTGAGATTCATTGCAAACAAGTCTGGATAATTGCAGCAAATCTGACATATTATCTACAACCTGGAAAATATATTGTACCCTGTAAAAGCAACAATTATTCAATAGATTTTCACTAAATTAAATCAATGCACAATTACGATAGAACTCGTTATACCAAACTTATACCGTCTGTGAGGGCAGTATCACACTTTTCAAAACTGATCCAATTAGACAAAATAACAAACACAAAGCTGGAAATCATCTTGCCCACAACATCAACAAAACCACAGAATGTAGTTTTTTTATATTTCTATACCATTGCTAATATATTAATTTTGTTTTATATAATATTTTTAAACAGTGTAGGACTGGATGCTACGATTATTTGTTAGATAAAATTAAAATCATTAATACTGATAGAATTAGACATTTAACAAGTTTTGTAGGCCTTCGAACTGATGAATCCCATAAAGTAACACTAAAGACGCATCTCTTAAAACGTCAGTCGTTTGAATTCCATGTAAATAAACAATTCAGCTTATATACGTGTTAGACATCCCATGGGATCTATATTTAACATGACTTGACAATTCTGACGCTATAATCATTCTTAACTTTTGAAAAACTAATTTTTTTCCTGCTAACAAGTTTGATGCATTTTTCTGTTATTTCTTTGTTTATCTTGACATAATTTCCAACTGGCTACACATGTATGCAGGTATACTTTGTGAAAAGTGATAAATTTTGATGTTCAAAGAACAACTGGTAATCCTCAAAAATCTTTAGTCAATTACCAGTACTCTTTGAAGTGGGGGATCGAAAACTAGTGAAATAAGAACGGGTGACTGAAGTAGTTTCCATGGAAGTTGTATTTTATATTATTCCTATAGAATTTAAGAATAAAATTTGTAATACAATTTTGTGAAATCTTGGACATTCGTGAGAATCTTACTTTAAGTAAAGGTGATTCTGAATGTGTTCGGGTACAAGTGAGCTACACCAAAATAATTGGTGTAACGGTTGACTACTCGAAATGGGGTAAAGGTCAATGACCCCAAAATGTGATAGTGAGGTCAATGACCCTAAGTGTGTTGGGGTAAAAGGTTGTTGATCCCAACATGTTGAAACCTGTTGGGCCATTTAAAAAAAATATTGTGAAGTTTTCATGAATGCCAATTAGGTAAGTTTGATTCTTGCAAAATTAAGGGAATTCAAAGAAAAAATCTGTTTAGCAATAATACCTGTAACACAAGTATTATGGCTTTTTTTTTACACAAAATTCAAAACATTACTAATAACAATTTTGAATTGCTCAAAAAAAGTATACAGTTTAACATCAGCACACTCATATTGTATATGTACAATTAGTACAATTCTGTGAGTGTTCAAAAAAAGTTTCATGGCACCACACAGAACACCCATATACAAACACTGGAATAAATGTGTACAACAGTATGTGTTCAAAAACATGTTCATAGTGTTTATGAACAATGCTATAGCACTATTAAAAGAACAGAACAAATAATATTACTGCTACATGTGTATAGGAACAGAACACCCACAGATATGCTATAACAAACCAGCAAACATCTGTACGTCCACACCACTCCAATTCTGTCACAGTTCAAAAATATGTTCAGTGTGTATAAAAACAGAAATAGCATACATTTAAATATTATCACAGTACAGTGTCATCAATGAGCATACAGCAAGTGCACTTGTTGCTTTAAGAACACTTGCACAAACATAATAGTTTGAAACACAATGGAAATATCTTGTTGGCAACACTAAAACTCAAAACAGTAAATGCTGGTATAGTCACTGAGGTACACAAAGCTCTGACACGCAGGACATAAATTATTCTGCAATACATAGCATCTAGTCAAGAGTAATGTGCATCTCAGTATCTATCTGTTCGATTTGGCGAGTCGTTGATCAAATGAAGTTTGACACCAGAGGCGATAAACTGTTGACCATGAATTAAAATCAACCATCTGTGTTCAGTGAAATTGTCTGCCAGCACCAAAGTGTTTTTCTCAATTTTTTTTCTACAAATTTTAAGCAGATGTGCAAAACGGAGTAAAGACGTTTTAAAGACACCAATGCGTTCTTATTCTCAATACAAAGAATACAACCGGTACACTTATCACAGCGAGTCTTATACATCACAGAGCTTTAAAAATATGAAAACATTTTGGCATTATTTCATTATATAAGAGATAAACAAATAATCGTCACAGGCATCCAATACTGGTAAGCAAAGTATGTCAACTTGATTCTAATACAGATCAAAATTGCTGCAAAAAGTTGATTGTATGATCAGTGAGAAACAACCTTCAGGTCAACGTAATAGACTACCTACAATCCCTGATACATATATATATATATATAATACATTATTTTGTACCTGAGCACTACTTAAACGTAGTTAAGAAAACATCATAAAATTGATTAATAATTCAATATACACGGTATACGTTAAAACCAAAGAAAACTGAAGAGGAAAAAAAACCTCCAGATTCAATTGGTTGCAGATTTTTTTTTACAGCAGTGTTGCTGTTTTTAACGAGCGCAACTTTGACCAAGAGAATGGTTGCATTTTAATGTCAAGAAAAATGTTATTTAAAAAAAAAAGGCTTTTATAGTCAAGAAATTTCTACCAAATCTGTTAGAGGGCGCTATTCATCCTACCCTACAAACAAAGCTTTTAGAAATGTCAGCACCTGCACTGCCAGAGTGCCATGAGATCAGTTCTCGAGTTCGGGTAAGTGTTTCCATCCAGTCATTTAAAGTTGATATTACAAATATTATATATGTAGACATATATAGAAAGACGTGTTCAAAAGTACCCTTAACATTTACTTTAGCACATCACACTTTTTTTTCGCAAAATTTAGAGAATTATTGTATTATAGCTTGACAAGGTCGCATGAGTTGCGCCCTCAGCGGTGCTCCAAACCCAACACACGCCTGACAGAACAATGTTTTTCACTTCCCCAACGATTTTTTTGTCGGTACCAATCAAATTGCAGGAACGTCAGATAGTGACAGCCATCAAAGAGTAACTATCCACGGCAGAGTTTATTTTCGCCCAATGTTCATCATTTTGTGAAAACAGTCATTTTTGCCGACAATGCAAACATGGCTTTGAATGACCGTGTTACCATGACCACCAAAATGAATATTCATTGAAACTCATTGCAAGTAGGCATGAACTTTGCAAATTCACAGTATTGATCTTGCCGACGAGACATACACTATTCTGTCAGGTGTCTGATGACGTTCGGCGAGTGAAGACGCCACTCACGCTTGCATGTCAGGCTATGGTTATAGATTTTGATCATTTGTGAGGATAAATATCAAGATATTAAGTTGAATCCCACCTTAGAAAAAAAATGGTAAATAAATAATGTTGTTCCATTGAATGAGGAGAAGATTCTTCCTTATATTTTGTTGGGATTTTAGTTAATGGTGACTAGAATATAGACTAAATCAACATAGCTTTGAAAAATAAAAAAAAAGATTGGTGCCTGTAAGAAAGAGTACTAATGACTTTGTGTGTGAAATTTGTCATCGACTATTATGCTTGATAGCTTTTTTTAAAATTAAATTTAGGCAAGAAACTCGCTGAAAATTGCAGTCACTGCGTCTACATATGCTGAGGTATCATAGTATGGCAGTGATTCTCACATTGACGAGTTCCCTTGATTTTAGAGTCAGTAGTCACTCCATTCCTAAACCTGTATGAGAAAGAATGAAGTTTCTTATATAATCAAACAACTACCAAACTGTTTACTAGTGCCTGTAGGTATAAACACGCAAACTTTTTGTCAATGTTCTATAAATTAAACCAACATCACCATGAGCTTTACATGCATACGTTTGTACAAGGAACCCTTCCCCACCTACAAAACTTGGCCGATTCACAACATCTTTTTTTTTATGATTAGGCAAATTTTTTCTTATATACATCAACCACCTAGGTAAGTGAAAAATTAAAATAAGTGCAATTTACGATAATGCTCTCTTCTATTATGGGACAGCTACCCTAAGGCAGAAACAGGGGTAAAACGAGTTAAAACTAATTCCATGTCTGTGATTTGAGTTTTCTCTAAAAGTTACTATACAAAGCATGCTAATATAAACAATCTATACATCGTCTGAAATCTACTCGATAGCTAATTCTGTAGATGTGTTACGCTTTGCAAGGTTTCTGGCTACCACATTCATTCTCAAGTCTTATATATTTTTCAGCAGTTTTTCATGTACAAAAAACCTGCGTCTTGATTTTTTTTTTTATCTAGGCTTAAAATGGATTGTGGGTAGCATGTCTGTTCTTATTTGGTCAAAGCTGGAATAACAATGATAAAGAAACAAGTCTTCCAGTCCGTGCAATTCATTCTAAGTTTTTTAGACGATGTATATAGTAGCATGCTTCAGAAACTTTTAGAGGATGTCCCAGTCACAAATAATTTGTTTTAACTTGTTTTTCCTGTTGCTTCTTGACAGCAACACAGTTGCCACAAAGTGTGTGAATACGTCACATGAAACCGACATTGCATGTGATGTGGTACATTGACTGTGGCACTTCAAGATGGGTAGAATTTAAATTATTTGTGTAAATATGTACAATATGCACAGCTGATCATTGTGGCCAATCAAATTTCATCCCGACAAGCTCTTCAAACCTTGCATTATGAGGTCGGTAGAACTCGTGAAGCTTCTGTAAAATCCATGGTTCTATGTAAGGATGTGGGCGTCCTTTACTCTCAGAGAGGCACTTGCTCATCAAGTCATCTTTCATGCAATAGAAACCCCGAGTTTCATTAAAATAGAAATTATCATAAGTTATCTTGTGATCTAGTCCCAGAAAGTCTTCTACCTTCTGTAGTTCGGGCACAGGATTTAAGATAAGCTTATCTCCGTCCACCACATGAATTTGATCTTTGGGGAACACATCGAGCCATTTATCAAAATGCTTAGCATAATTACTAGTTCGTACCGCTTTGAATTTAATGCTTACTTCACCATCTTGTATAGCAAGCTCCTCAAATTTTGAATGCGGTTTATTTTTATCAGTTTTGTGAGAATGAATCTGGGTGTAATCAGAGATGACCCGAGTCGTTGGTTCTCGTACAATAAGCACCAGTTTCACAGACGGGTCCATTTCATAAATTCTTGATGGCACTTCATCTGTAATAAAGTATGCCGGACTCTTTTCCATAGTGATCTGGTCTGGGAATGAGTACGGCATACGCCTACGATACCAATCCAATCCACGGCTGTAATTTTCTTCTCGGTCAAAGAAATGAATCTCATCTGAAGCTGCTTGAATTTTCGGGTGTAGTTTCAACATGGCCAACAATGCCCGTGTACCACATTTTCTAACACCGATAATAATTGCTTGTGGTAAACGTCGCTTCATTCCTTTTGGGTGAAATAGATCCATGGAGTCGTCATCCATATCAATATCCTGCAGTACTTTACGTTGACTATCCCCCAAACGGGTTTTTGGTCGTACATAGCAAAGCAGATCATGGTTTGAATGGTAGGCCAAGTTGCAGAGTAAAATGAGGAAAAAAACACAGGCAATGATGACAGAAATAACGATCTTCTTTTTCACTGTCATACCTAATCTTCCATTCCAACTGCACTTTACATCCAATGTAGTCAAAAAATAAACTTCTCTGTTGAAGACTGAAATCTGAAAAGACAGAGATATAATTGGTGAGAACTTGAAGTATCAGATACTAACATAATATTACTTGACATAGTTAATTCTTAACTGTGAGTTGGAAACTGGTCATTGTATAATTATCAGTTTGAAGAAATGGAGATTGTGGCCAGTCAGGACAAGATTTTTATGGAAATTAATAAAAAGATGAAACAGATTGAAAAACAGATAATAAATTTGTTGAATAGCTCTAGCAAGTCAACTTATTGATAGTAGAGTTAGTCATATATGAAATGATTCATTCTTCACTGGACATGCTTGTAACTGCCTTAATTTTTTTAGATTATCACAAACTGCAAGACCTTTGGCCGAGAGTTGTCAGTGTGTCCTTTCTAGTCGCATTCATTGCCATTTGGTCACTGTTGATGGTTGTCTGTTTCAACATGTGCAAATTTGGCGCCTCAGGCTTCAGCATTGAACACAGAACCGGAAACCAAAGGGGTTATTCATTGTATACTGTAAAACATGTTGAACAAGCCATGTATGGCTGTTAGTTATCAAATTTAAGATATATAGTCTTGTTTATAGTAATATAGCTGAAATATAACCATGTCAGGAATATGATTTTTTTAACATTAAAATGATTGACATTTGTATCTGATCGTCAAACAAGTACTTGTCCATATTGAGAGATAGTGCTCTGGAACAGCATTCAAAATTAACCATTTTGAATACATGTATATATATATATATATATATATATATATATATATATAACATGATGTATATCGAATATGTAAAATTTGAATATAATCAGTCAAAGCATTTAAGGGATATGGCTCTAGAAGCCCAATCATTAAAACAAAATGGCCGCCTGTAATGTCTAATGTATGTTATAAGTTTTAACAAAATCTCTCCATGAATGCAAGAAATGCTTGATATTTGAGGATTTTTTCAGCACAAAAATAGCCACCATTTGGCCATTTTGAAAAGGATCATCAAACCAATATATCCGTATATCTATGACATGACGTATAATGAATATTAAAAATTTGAACATAATCAGTCAAAACAAGTCAGACATATGGCACGAGAACCACATTCATTAAAACAAAATGGCCGCCAGACAGCCATTTTGAATCCGATCTGAAAAATAAATGATGTGCATCAGAAACCTGTAATGTCTAATACATGTACCAAGTTTGAACGAAATCCATCCATAAATGAAAGAAACGCTTGATATTTGATAATTTTTTAGCACAAAAATGGCCACCATTTGGCCATTTTGAATAGGATCGTCAAACCAATATATCTGTCTATCTATGACATGATGTATAATGAATATTAAAGATTTTGAACATAATCAGTGAAAGCAAGTCAGACATATGGCACGAGAACCACATTCATTAAAACAAAATGGCCACCAGTCGGCCATTTTGAATCTAATCTGAAAAACAAAATTATTTCCATCAAGGTCCCATAATGTCTAATGTATATACCAAGTTTGAACAAAAACCATCTGTAAACAGCCGAGAAATGCTTGATTTTTATGATTTTTTAGCACAAAAATGGCCGCCATTCCGCCATCTTGAATCAGATCGTGAAACAAATTGACGTGCATATGTATAACATCATGTATGATGTATGTATGAAGTTTGATTGTGATTGGTCCAGGCATTTCTAAGATACAGATCCGGACGCACGCACGGACACACAGAGGTCAAAAATAAGTACCAGTTTTCAAACTGCGTCTAAACGGAGACTAAAGAGCAACATGCAATTTTAGCGAATTGTGGTAAAATGACGTAATAGCGAAATGTTGATTTAGCGAATCTCTCTTTTTATTGTTGATTTCATTCCTGCGTTACATCCAGAATATTGACCTTTTATATTTGGACTCAAAAATTGCTATCAATTCCTGTAATAATGTATCAGTATCACTTTATTTATGTTATTTATACATTTATTTATTTATTTTCTTTGAAATAATAACCAGAGTGGATATGTGTATTTTTTTTGGTGTTAATTTACTTTTCAATAAGGTGTATTTATCATGTCAATGTGTTTTCTGTGTGTTGTTTACAAAGTGTGTGTGGAGAAAAAGACGTTGTTTGGGGGAATTTATATTATAATGAAGTCATTAGCGACATCTCGAACTAGCGAATCAGTTCTCTCGCTAAAAAGACACACTCGTGAAAAAGACATGTTTAACAGTATATTCAAGCAAGTGCCTGCATGATTTGTATGAGGTTGGAATCACCAATCACTTTACAAATATGGGCATGTAGTTTGAATAAGCTAATTATATGAACAAGGAATCAGATATTATAATTTTCCATGAACTGACAGTTGTGCAACAACTATAACAGTGTGATCTCTCCTCTCATTCACTATGACACTGCAATAAAAAAAATTTAGTAGCGACTCCCGACTATTGAAACTATGGAACAGGAGTCAGGCATCCAAGACTAACTCCTAATACACTACAGTGCAATTTTGTTTTCCCATCAAGAAAAAACAATAACGTTAAAAAAAAACATTCACGACTATGCTACGATGAAATTTGAATTGATGTAAAGTCTGACAGTGTTTAATTCCGAACAAGAAAAAGGTCAAATGTTGCGAGTTGCTCAGTAAATTCCTGTTTTATGGAGATGTTAAAGTATGACATATAATGGCCAGGAGGTCAATACTGTGGCTAGTTACTCCCTTTAGACAGCCATCTGAAGTGCAAATGGAATAACTTAGCAATATAAAAACATTAAAAACCTAACTCTTAAAGGCCATACAAAAATAAACATTTGTTTCACAATCTGCAGGATTTGCATTATACATGTACGTGAGCCGCCGTCAGTTTTCCTTTATAATTAGAATATGATCTAACGTCTGAATGGTGTTAAAATACCGGTACATGTATCTAGTCCCTAACCTATTCATTAATTTATATGGATGAATTTCATGTAGACATAATCATCAATATTCATGACTGATAGCTGGGTATAGAATACAAGTATTATGGTTTAATACTTTAATCACTTCATCTTTAACTACACATAATTTAAAGCGCGGTGGTCGTCGCGCAGCGCGTCTTCGAATTTCATGTAAATAAACAATGTATTTTATATGCGTTGTATACGTCGCTATGAGTCCCATATTGAGCACGCGGCACGACGACCGCCGCCCTTTAAACACTATGCTAAATCAAATAAAGGAAAGTTCATGAACAGAGAACCATAATAAGATCATAGAGGTAGAAATAAATCAAACATTTGATTTTAAGTAGAGATCCAGTACATTCTGTTTTATTTTATTACTAAAAAGTCTGTAATACAAAGATGAACGCTCCACCAATTTTAATACTCGTACTCACAATTCATAACAAGCAGCCTATCGGCTGAGATAGCTCCGCTGATGGCAATGCACATTTCAATTAAAGAACTGAAGACATCATTAGAAAATGAACAATATGAATAGTATCAAAGCAATCGGACTTACAGTTTTTAACAAGAAGTCGAAAATATCACTTTTTACCAAAAATGACAAAAATATTCACCAAAATTAGAGAATTAAAGATGTCATCATGAAATGAACAAATCTGAGAGAGGTCCACATGTAGTACCTATATATGTAGTATCAAAGCGATTGGACTTGCGGTTTTTAACAAGAAGTCGAAAATATCACTTTTTACCAAAAATGACAAAAATATTCACCAAAATTAAAGAATTAAAGATATCATTACAAAATGAACAAATCTGAGAGAGGTCCACATGTAGTACCTATATATGTAGTATCAAAGCAATTGCACTTGCGGTTTTTAACAAGAAGTCGAAAATATCACTTTTTACCAAAAATGACAAAAATATTCACCAAAATTAGAGAATTGAAGATATCAACATGAAATGAACAAACCTAAGAGAGGTCTACCCAAGGTACATATACACCAAGTATCAAAGCATTCAGGCTTGTAGTTTTCAAGAAGAAGTCGAAAAAGTAAAACATTGACACGGACGACGGACGGCGGACGACGACGGACGACACCGGACAATCACTCATATGATAAGCTCCGCTCGACAAAGTCGACAGCGGAGCTAAAAATAAGTTTGTTATTTGAACTTATTTCCAAAAAACGACATACAGATTTTCAAACTTTTAGACAGACAAAATAACCAAAAATCAAATCAAACGGCGACCTATGTGGCATTCATATAAACTGCACATACTGTAAAATACTTTATCTTCACTACGAATTAATCTTCGCTATTTTTGCTGAAGGAATGATTCAGTGAAAATTAAATCCAGAGAATGCACTTTTTTTCCTTGTATTTTACATTCAACTTGTCAAAAATCAGTGAAAATAACAAAACAAACACAAAAAGTCTTTTCAGCGAAAATAAATTCCAGCTAAAATAAAGTATTTTTACGGTATATCATGTTCTTCATACTTGTCAATACAGTGCTATACATCGGACAAAGATATGGCCTAGTAGTACCGGTATGTTAATGATCCAAGTGTTCTTCACGCGTGGGTACACAAACATCTATAATAAAGCTGTGATATTTTTATTATAAGATTCTCAGTACATGTAGGTGAATTTAACATTTGATAAAAATCATAATCATAGGTGAATTTAACATTTGATAAAAATCATAATCATAGGTGAATTTAACATTTGATAAAAATCATAATCATAGGTGAATTTAACATTTGATAAAAATCATAATCATGAACAGTGCAACCATCCTTGAACAAGTTTGTCGCTGTGCAGCCCTAGGCCTAGACTCGCACA